TTATATTCTTACAGGCTACACACACACGCAGCACGCACGCACGCACGCACGCACGCACGCACACACACACACACACACACACCAATCTATGCACGCACGTGCTGTCTCTCAACTAGTTTGTTACATACATTGTATGCATAGTGTGAGTGTGTATGCAGTGTGTCTTTGTATATAAACACTCTATTGACCGTGCAGTATATCTTTTAGCTCTGTTGTTGTGCGTTCTATTCTGGTGTTGTTTACATGAGACATGGGACTACGGGTGTCGTGGTACCAGTCTCCCATAGCCTGAGGATAACGTCGCTACCCTTGTACACACAGACTCACGTTACACTAAGGGCGAGAACATTACACTACGTTAATTACTTATTACTTATTTTTAACTTAATTATTATTAGTTAATAATTATACTACGCCAGAGGGGTCACGGACGTAGTACAACTTCACCTCAAAAATGCGGGCGTGTCGTCAGCAGTTATAGACTGTAGGAGACCATAAAAAAAACAATTAGTACACCCAAAGACAATGGATAAGCGCAACATTACGGACTGTGTTTACAAGATACCGTGTACGATGTGCGAAAAAGGTTACATTGGAGAAACGGGCCGTAAATTTGAAAACCGCCTAAAAGAGCACAAAATAGGACGTCAACACCGTAGCTCCCAAATAATTTACGTGGTCCCAGTGAAAACAATCCGCTACTGAAATAAACAAATCCGCGAGCACGGACCATGTAGCAACCGCCAATCACACCACCGATTGGGATAATTCGAAAATTATCGATCGTGAGCCAATAAGAATCAGGCGTTGGATTGAGGAAGCCATCTGGATTCGCAAAAAACCCCAAACATCAACCGAGCCTAGGGGGGTACAGGCTCGGTCATGTGTGAACCACGCTGTTAACCACTACACCATCTGGTGGTCACATCTGACAACGTTAGTCAGCGTTGAAAAAGCATCCTGTTAGGACGCGAAACGTTAGCAGGTACGTTTGAACCTCACGGTTGAGTACAAATTAACACTGTTATTTATATTTAGGTTTATGTAGGACTTCTCTATTTCATGGGTTTCCAGATAATTAAAATAGTAAAATACCACATCCCGCAAACAGCGCCCAATTAATATTAGGCTGAAACAGACATATCTCAATCCGAATCCTAGCGGAGACCGTTAGAACCGGAAAACTGTCAAAGGATCAACCAAAGGTTCTGTAAGCTCCAAAACATACACTGCTTGTAAAGTGTCATGTTAGCTATGGAAACTAGAAAGAATGCACCCGGAGAGTGCGAATCCTCCACACAAGCGATCACTACACCTGTGATATTTTGTAGGCTGAGGTTGCTACTTGTAATAGATGACGTTGACCTTGGTAAAATATCACTCAAAATGAATACTTGTCAAGGATTAACATAGTTGGTAGTCTGCAGTAGATTATGGCATTTCAATTCAGATCATGTGTTTATGCTCCCCTTGATATCAATACTTTATGACTATACATGTATAATAGTAGAGATCGAAGCAAACATCACCAGTCCATACCATTTATAATGATTCAGAGCCACCAGCCACTCGGACCAATGGTTTGAAATAACCCAGTGATTGACTATCTGCCTGTGTTTTTTTGTTTTTGGATGTTTACGTGCATGTATGTAAGATATTCATTGTGGGATGTCATTTATTTATGTATGTCTTTTTACTCCCTGGACGATTGGCAGCCCGGATATTGCGCAAAGCACGAAAAACGCTGCGTAGCGGCACACTAACACAACAACGCTGCACTCATTGAATAGCAATTTCAACGGGTCCACTTTAGCTAGACGCAATTGTGGGGCTATCGCTGAATTGAGCAGTTCTGGCGATTGCACGACGGGTTTGACTACCCACGTAGCTAGAGATTTCCTAGAAATGGTCGTAATTCTTGGTTCGCTACTCGGCGCGCTTGGTTTGCTGTAAAAAACGGAGTTGAACTTTTTTGTGCCAGCGACTAGTTCAGGCCCCCATATCAGTGATAGTGTAGTACATATGGCCAGCGATAGATGGCGCAACGAGGCTATATGCATAGCGTTTCGCTACGACTTTCCTGCAGACGGCTCGGCCGGCTATAACCTACACTGCTCCCCGGTCGACAGTTCCACAGCTACACTAACTAACTTTAGTGTAGCGAAGGATACTTGCCGGGAGTGAAGGTGGCGAACAGGTACCAGTCAAGCTATAACCCCCCAAACTCTATCCAGCGCCCGTTCGTACACTCGTAGTTTCTACGAGGTTAGTTTAGCTCTAGGGTACTAGTACTAGAGCTAATTAGTTTATATAGTACTGCCCCGTGTCCGATCCCCCGCTGCCGCTGGAACATAGGTGTTTGTTTACGTTATAGGTGTTTATTACGCTTCGCATAAATACGGCAAACGCTGCACTGGTGCCGTAATACAGAATTAGTTCGAAAGAGTAAGAGATGCAAACGACGGGAATCTGATGGGCCCGAGCTAATTCGGCAATCAGGCGAATATGGTCCGCGCACCATAGGCCCAACTGAGGGAGAATGGAAGCTAGGAAGAGCTCATTCCCAAACCGTTGCAGGTCCGCACAGTGGGTTAACAGCGAATGACAGTTCCCTGTTGAGACAGCCGGCGGCCGCAGGGGGTACTGACCCGCGGCATGAGAGGTTGAGGCAGAGAGGGGATTCAGCCTGAAACGTCAGGGGAAAACACACCCCGACGTAGCCCGAGGGAATTAATGCGGGTCCGGACGTTCAATGGACGTGGCAACATACCACTGGAAGCTTTCCTCAGCCATTTTGAGGTAGTGGCCCGCCACAATGGATGGGACCGAGAGGAACGGGCAACGCAACTAGCAGGAGCGATAGATTATCCCACCACAGCAGTGCTCTACGAATGCGCCCCATATGCCTCAGAAGAAGAAATCAGAGGAATGCTAGAAGAACGACTGCAACCGCGGAGCTCTGAGCTCGAGAGACATCTCAGTTTAGAGGAGAGAATAAAACGCCGGGACGAGACATGGTTAGAGTTCGCGAAGGACTTAATCATACTTGTACGCCGGGTCAAGCCAGACCTCTCGAGGATGGAGTGTAGCCGCCGCACAAGATGGCAGCTCATCCGATCCCTCAAGGACGGAAACAAAAAAGTCCATGTCATGGAACATGATGACGGGACGGCGGAAGGAGCGGCTCAGGCGGCCGACCAATATGAGTCTATAATGCGATCGACTCACGCTGTCGTATCACGAAAACCGGAAGTCCGTCCCATTGCGGGTCAAGGCCCGCCGGATAGGCAAAACCGGGATGCATCGCCATGGGGCATGGAGAGGAAGGGCCTCACGGGCAACAGTGGAATGCGTGGACTCCAGCTTAGTCATATGAAGGCACTAACGGAGATGATGCGGGGGCTGATTCGACACGAATTGCGAGGTCATGATAGGCCTGCCACCAACTCAACAAGACAGTCGGAACACCAATCCCAAAAAATTGGAAACAAGTGCTTCTGGTGTCAGAGACCCGGCCATTTTGCACGTGAATGCAGAGCCCGAAGGACCGCTAGCAGAGAGGAGATTCCAATGGAATTTCCAATGAATGGCGAAGTCGGGAAAGATCAGCAACAGGGGGTCACATGCGACGCAAGTGCACCCTCGCACTCGGGAAACAAGTAAAAACGAGGCCGCTCACGCCACCTCAGGATGCAAAAAGAAATGCACGCTCCGGGAGAATATCTGCTGACAATCGCAAAAGTCAGGCACGGCCACAAGCAGTCTGGCAAATTTGTGCGGCCGGATGGTCGATTTTACTATCGATACTAGTGCTGAATTGTCACTGCTTGACTATGCCACCTATTCCTCACTATCTGGGAGCCGTCCCGACCTACATGAGACGGGCGTAGTGATGGTAGATGCGCAAGGTAGAGACATACACGCGGTGGGGGGACTATCCACGGAACTCGTCATAAACGGACAGGCCTATCCCCACGATATCACGGTGGTGGAAACTGGCCTCCGTGGAGGATTACTCGGAGTGGATTTCTTGCGAGAGCACGATTGCCAAATGGACGTCGCCAGATGTCATTTGACCCTCAACGACATTTTACATGTGCTCCACGACCAGTCACATTTACTACGGAGGGTACTGCGGGCTACCAGACGCACGATAGTACCACCTGGGCATGGCACGGTGGTTATAGGCAAAATAGCCGGAAACCCGTGGCCGGAAAATGTGCTAGTCATGGCGAAACCAATGACAAAGTTCCAGAAGAACGGTCGTCGAAGGGGGCTCTGATGGGCCGATGCTTAGCGACCAAAGGTCTACAAGTCCCCTTGTCGATCATCAACTCGGCGGCAACAGAGTTGGTGATCAACCCGGGAGGAATTGGCTTGGCTAGAGCCAGTCGCCCGGGTAGTCTTGACGGCCATATCTGACAAAGGGTCAGACACAGTAAAGGAGCCCGGAACCTTGGTCACTGAGCATATCCGTCCAATCCTTGAAAGGGTAAACGAATCACTCACACCCGGCCAGCGTAGCGCTGTTGAAAAAATTCTCTGCAACTACGCGCACTTGTTCACGGCTCCTGGGGAAAAGCTGGGCCACACCAGTCTCGTGCAACACATGATCAACACGGGTGACCCCCCCCCCGATCAACCAAACACTCAGCACTAAGGCGCTGTGCCCTAGCTAAGTGACACGCTATGGAGGCAGAAGTCAGGAAGATGAGCGAGGACGGGACGATACGCCCGAGCAGCAGCCTGTGGGATTGTCCCGTGGTACTTGTCACAAAGAAGGACGGAAATTCCCGTTTCAGTATCGTCTACCCTCAATGAGGTGACAGTCAAGGATGTTATCCGCTGCCAATGATAGATGAGACGCTGGACTCTCTGGCAGGTGACCAGTGGTTCAGTAGTCTGGATCTTACCAGCGGGTATTGGCAGTTCGAAATGGGCCCGAAGGATGCACCTAAGACTGCATTCAGCACCCGAGAAGGGCTTTTCGACACTTAGTGATGCCGTTTGGTTTGTCGAACAGTCCGGCAACCTTTGAGAGTCTCATAGAGCTCGTCCTCAGGGGACTACAGTGGATGAAGTGTATACCTGGGCGATGTGATCATTTTCGGACGATCTTTTGATCAGGCACTAGACCACCTCCACCATGTTTTCGACCACCTACAAGGCGCGGGCTTAAAACTCAAGCCATCGAAATGTGCTCTCTTCTAGTCGAGCACCCAGTAACTTGAGCATATTGACTCCGCAGATGGAGGTTGATGTGACCCCGAGCAATTGAGTGTGGTACGGGAGTGGGCAATTCCGCAATCAGTAGGAGACGTACACAGGTTTCTGGGATTCACAAACTATTATTGGCGTTTCATCCCAGATTTTGCTACGACAGCTGCCCCGCTCACAGAACTCACCAGGAAGAATGCCATTTTCTTGTGGACAGAGACGTATGCAGTTTCATTCGAAAAGCTGAAAGAGCAACTCACGTCTGCCCCCGTATTGGCATATCTGGAAGGAAAAGGCGAATTCGTGTTGGACACGGACGCCAGTGCGTCAGCAATGGGCGCAGTCCTCTCTCAAGTCCAGAATGGCGAAGAAAGAGTGGTTGCATATGGCAGCAAGACCTTTGGGCCAACGCAGCGGCGGTATTGTACCACCAACCGTGAACTGCTGGCCGTAGTCACATTTGTCAAGCAATTCCGGCACTACTTGCTCGGTCGGCCTTTCTAAATTTGCACCGACCATGCCTCCCTCACGTGGCTCATCAATTTCAGGGAACCCGAAGGGATGCTGGCACGCTGGATTGCATACCTGGGAACGTTTGACATGAAAATCGAGCATCTGGCCGAACGTCTACATGCGAATGCCGACGGTCTATCTCGAAAACCGGGATGCCATGCGTGCAAACGATTGGACTGCCCCGAGTGCCAGAAACCCAGCATAAAAAGGGTAAAATGGGCTCGCAGAAGGGTGCCCCGAGCCCAAGTACAGCCACAAGTCTCGAGCAGCAAGATGAAAATGCGGCTTCCCGTTACAAGGGCAAGGCATCGGTACGTGTTCGTCGCTTGTGATTATTTCACCAAGTGGGCGGAAGCATATGCACTTCCCGATCAGACTGCACGAACCACCGCCGACTGCCTGGTATCGCAGCAGTTTACCCGTTTTGGTTGTCCTCGTCAGCTACATTCTTACCAGGGCCGGAATTTTGAGTTGAGACTATTCGCTGAGGTATGCGATCTCCTCGAAATTCAGAAGACACGGACAACGCCATATCATCCACAATCAGATGGGTTAGTTGAGAGACTCAACCGGACCATTCTGGATATGTTGGCTAAAGTCGACTGGGATGAACATCTTCCGTATGTCATGGCAGCCTATCGTGGCACACCCCAGGAAAACACGGGAGTGAGTCCGAACCTCATGATGTTTTGTCGTGAAGTTGGATCACCCGTGGAGCTGATGTTCGACCCCCTCCTGGGACCGGATAGTCCGCGTTACCCGGTGGAGTACGTCGAGTTGATAAGAAGAGTAATGCGAGCAGCGCATGAGCACGCCCGTCAGCAACTAGGCAAAACAGCAGAAAGGCAGAAACGGAATTACGATAAACGTGTCCTTTCGGCGACTCTCCAGCCGGGTACCTGGGTGTGGAGGTATTACACCCCGAATGCTGGGAAGTTGGGAAATCCATGGCAGGGCCCTCTCCTTGTCACAAAGGAGAATGGTACGTTCAGATAGATACAAGCCGATGAGCATGATGTTCCACACGTGGTATTGGTTGACGACCTCAAACCATACCTAGGTGACCATGCTCCAGCACGATGGAAAATCCCGGATCAGAATCCGGAGGAAACAGACGACCCCACCAACGCAACCTCCATCAGAGGTGGAATTGGTAAAGCGGCATCAGGCCCGGCCCAAATAGTGGATAACAGAAACCACGAAACGGACACGAGCCGAGGATCGGAGAAGAAATCCGGTTCAGAAGAGGAGAAGCAGTCAGGAGAAAGAGACTCAGATGTGTTGAGCTTACAAAAAAAGCCTGTCTGCGACATACCGTCAGGGACGTACGTAGATGTAACGGCGGGATCAGAGGCCGCAAGCAGCCATGGATAGTATTCCCCTGCAGAATGTGAGGGTGCACCCCGAAGTGTCGAGGGAGTTGGGCTGGCATCACCAGTCCGACAGTTAGCTTCGAGGAAGTGGAAGGCACCATTACCTCCCTATATGCCACGAGGCAGGTCTGCCGGGAAGCTGGTGGTGCGATGACCACATCGCTACGTAGCCCCGGAGTAGTGCTGCTACATCAAGTCAGACCGGGTAGGAGAAAACCCGCCACGGCTATTAGCAAAACCGTGCTGTCTGTGCTACATCAGGACGACCGGGTAGGAGAAAACCCGCCACGGTTATTAGCAAAACCGTGCTGCCTGTGCTACAGATATAATCAGACCGGTATGAAAACTGCCACGGAAAGAAACACCGTGCTGTATGTAGAGAAGCCCCGCGCAATGTAAGGGGTGGGCGAGTGGCTGACTACTTTGTGTAACGGATGGATGAGAAGCCGGTTGCTGGAAAAGGAGGTTTTCTCCTCCCTATGCCCTGGACGGTTACCCATGTCATCTGGCCGACGACACGGTAAACCCGGCAGGCAGGCACAGAAGGTTGGCTCACTCCCCGGTTGCATTCCCCGGACGATTGTAGCAGGTAGTTCGTTCCCCATCATAATATGAACTCCGTAAGGCGTAGCCATCAGCACGCAGGACTCGTGAGACGGACGCGAGCACGATCGGGAACACACAACCCGGTTGTCAGTGTGTATGCCAACACACTAGGTCATGGTGGGCTAATTCCGGCGTGCATCGCATACGTTGAACTAGCGTATTGCGTGCCGAGGGATGCGAAAGGTTTAGTTCACCTGAAAACCATTATACACATGTTTAGAATCGAAGCATGGCACCCCTTGTCGAGAGAATATAGCGCCTGCGAGCAGAGGCGTCCATCACCACTCCGCTTCACCCTGTAGGATGAGACGCAGGCAAGCGAGAGGCGAGATGCGGACGACGGGCATACGCATTGGGTTGAGATAGCTGAGAAAGGTTCCCCATACGTATAGCCTACCAACTGGAGCAAAGCCGTCCACGATGATTGATCGCAGATGGAGGAAAAATGACTCAGCCGTCCCCGCTAAGTCATGTACTACTCCCAGGCGTGTTTCTCCCGTGTGAAACAGAATGTGTAAGACGCACACTGTGCGACAGGCGCGCGAACCAGCGCTTGCAGGAACAGCTGAAGTGTCGCGAAAAATGACGGCGACCGGATATCGCTTATTGATGTGCCAAGTTTTTCGGGGAAAAAATAGAAAGGTGCGATCTAGCGGAATCCGGCCGTGTGAAACAGCATTTCCAAGACATTCACCTTGACAGTCTTAATAATTACGCCAGATAATCAGGTGTTACAGGGTAATGCTACGGTAGCATCGCGCCTACGTAGAAGAAGCTACTACGCGACCGGTGTCACTGATTATCGCTATACCAACAGAGCTCGCAGGACGCGTTGGCAAGCGTTACACAACGGTGTCAACTAGGAATTACTATCACAACAAGCGGTGACGCGTGGGGACACCACGCGTAACTATCCGTTGGTACGGACACGTGAATAAGGCGGCGGCCCATTTCGCGAGTATATAAGCCATGCCCGTGCCCAGTAAGAGTGTTAGTTATCCACTAACCACGACTACGAGAGCAGACGTGCCAAACGTCCTGCTAGTTAGACCGTTAACCACGCTATGAGATGGCGTGTCGCACGTCCTGCTGGTTAGACGCCTAACACCTGCCACGAGAAGAGACGTATCGCACGCCGTTGAGCAATACACGAGCTCCACATATCTACACAACGCAAGAACTACGTGATGCTAACAGCATATCCACATAACCTGTGCTAACAGCACTATAGTGCGTCAGCAGGCTAATATCTGAAGATATTCTATCCCTGTTTGATCCGCCCTGTAGATACTCCGGACTACAGTTATCATTTCCCGGGTTTTAACCCGTACGATTAATTTATACTGTTTTATCCGCCCGCATTAAGCCGGGTGTTGAATAAATGCTAGGCCAAGCATGGCGAGTGGATTTTACATCTATGTTATTGTTTGCTATCTTATATACTCCGACTAATCCAGTGATCGAACCCGAGCGTAAGCTCATGGGTAAGAAATATCGTTTCGCATAAATACGGCGAACGCTATATATATATATATATATATATATATATAATATATACTATACTTATATATATATATGTGTACGTATACTAGTCGTCCGTCGGTTCTTCGTACAATAAACGCATAGAGTGTAGTTACGAACAACAACCTAAACCGT